TTACCCAAAATAAGGGGGAGGGATCCGCCACTGAACAATAGGGTCAAATTTCATGACTGGTCGAAATTGAGTAACGTCTTAACAGAAGCTGACTGATATATCACAATTGCACTTCTAAACAACTGTTCTTTAATAAGCATCCGGAATGCAGTAACTTCAATCATTACATACAGTATTAACAATGGAAAGATAAACTTAACTGGTTTGAGTGGCCGTGTAAACGGGGTAAAATTATAAAGGATTATACAGTTTGGGATTTCAGAATGTAGCCGTCCGCCGTATTATGGGGGTGGCCTCATTAACGAAGAATATCAGCGCTAGCTTTTGACTGCATGGACCTTGTGCAGCAAGGTCTGAGAAGTGGAAAAAATTTAGTGCCTTCCTTAGCTTGCGCTCGTCAACCGAAACCCACATTAGGGCAGTTTGAAATGCTCTTACGAACTCTACAAAACCAAGGGAAAATAAAGTACTGTGAACAGTCGAGAGAGAGACTAGCTGCTCTAACCTTTCTCCACTGTCTCCACGTTCTACGTAATAAAATATTTTTGCACAGTGCTTCTGCTGCCTCCAGTCTCTCTTCATTTACCCTTCTAGTAAACTCCAACCAAGGATGGAAACAGCATTTTAGTAACACTCTGTTATGATGTAATGCAGAACGTGACATGTTCTCCCGCGTTGTCTCCACTGCACGTCTCCATGGCAACATGCCAAACCTTTTGAGAAGGGTGTATGCGTAGTGTTGGGTTGCCATGGCGACCTGCTGACGATTATGTTCTAACTGACGCTGTTTCTCGAGCTCACGCTATAAAAAGAAAACAAAACTAAAAGTTGATCAAAGTTAAATTCTCCTTACTGTTTGCTAGACAATAATGTTACTTTTGAGAATTTCCAAGTTTATCATGACTATTTCATTCAGTTGACGATTCCCTTGACATTATAAGAAGGAAAAGCCGTTTTCATCATCCATGTTCCTTACCTCTCTAGCCACGCGTTTCTCTTCTTTTCTCTTACGCAGCACTTCTTGTTTTTCTGCCAACAGTTCTGCTTCTTTACGCTCCTGTTCTTTCTTGAGGAATTCCTGCCACATGTACATAATATCAGTTATAAAAATGAAGAAGGCTAAAGACACAATGGGCTTGACAAGAACCACGAAACAGGCATCTTCAACCTAACTTCGCTTGAATTTGGACTGTTAGAATTATAGTTTCTAAAATAAATCACTACGCTATAAGTAAGCAAATAAAAACAAAGTTATCATCGGCCAGGAGTAGCGTCATTGAAAGAAACTTAGAAACCAGACAAAATACATTAAATTTGACCATATGGGGCCGAAAAATTAATAAAATTGGCTGAAAATGTTCGCGCGTTTAACCGTGACCGCGCATTTAAAATAAAACAGGCCAAAAAAAAAAAATGCTGCAAAAAACAGGAGCAGAGGATGCTCACATACCAACTTTTCTTCCTCAGCTTTCCTCTTCTTTTCATCTAAAGCTTTCTTTCGTTCCAAGCGTTGTTGAGCGCGTGCCTCCATAGCTAAAAATAACAACACAAAGTCACTCGTTTTGCTTGAGTACTACTTCACATGTAGTCCGTCACAAAACTTTCAGGATGGACTGCTAGTGAAAAACTATGGCCATCTCTACCCAGTGCAAAGTCGTACAACAGAGATTCTCCAGGCCCCATTTATCGAGCACACATACTCTAAAGTGTATGAATCGCAAAACTTCCCCAATTCCTCATCTTTTGAAGCCACCCACCATCCACGCTCGTTGAGCTACTACCGTTGGACTAATTTGTTTAAATTTGGTGAGGTACATCAAAAAAGTACCCGCACCGATCCCCTAGCTGATGAATTCGTAAATTCTTAACACTGGTCCGCTAGAGAAAATGTCTCAACATTGTAATTACAATTGTAACGATTATATTTCTAGCCCGAGTTTTCTGTTATAGACAACGACAGAACTTTTCCGATTCGCCTATTTCCAGTAGAACATGCCTTGTCAGGCTAAGTGTCTTCTAAAAGAGCTTATAAAGATAGCAAGACTTACCCAAATGTAGTGGTTTAGTGGTAGGCTTTTGTGATTTAACAACAGCTTCTCTCGAGGTGAATTTACTGGGCACAGCAGACGTGTTACTGTCCGATAAAAAAGTGCTTACTGACCGTCCCGTTAAAACACGTTCTGTGGATTGAGCCTCGGGCGCATCAAGTCTGTCCTCTGATCTACTCTTTGATAAAACTGAGTTAAGTTTCTTTTCGTCGTGTTTCGTTTTGTCTTTGCTTTTCGCGGCAGAATAAAGAACTTCAACGTTCTCTACTTCACTGTAACTGCGCTGTCGATGTGATTTAGGTTTCGTCTCCTTTTCAATCCTGGTGTCTTTTCTGGTTTGTTCTCTTTTTGGTTGATTGATCCAAGCTGGTTTACTTATCGGCGGCTTATTGCTATCTTCCGTCTTTCTTGATGACAATTCCATTTCTACTCCAGAACGTTTAAGAGGTACAGTCCTGGCAGGCTGTGAGAACATTTCGTCCTGCGTCAAAGACAAA